ACTTGATAAAAGGGACTGCATTAGATGCAGAGTTGTTGAATAAAGCAGAAATGCTACAGTGGTTAATTACAAAGTTACTTAAAGGAAGAAAATCTGCAGTATTTTATAGTGTATTCAACTTGCAATTAGTTCCTAGCATGGCTAACACAGTATTAGCAAATATAATACATTTCATAGAGGACAGAAGGAAATGCTTTAACGTCTCTAAAAAACATAGTTTAAGGCCAATTCCATATTGACCAGCAATTAGCAAACAGCAATTAGCTTGCTCTCAGTACTTTCCATCAGTGGATTGCAAGTGCAGTATAAAAGGGGACTCTAATTATGCTTATTTTACTGATGAGGTGAAAGATGCATGGGGAGAAGTAATGCAGCCCATGATATCTGATAGACTAATTGCAGCCTGAGTGCTATCACTCTGCCCCACTGATCTCAGGCAACACTAATGGCCCTTTCTCACAGCAATTTTGACAGAATTTTCCACATTTCTCTTTTTTTTTGAGGTTTTTTTTCCAAGTGTAATCTAAAGACACTGTATCGGACACATTAACTTTTAATGACAGCCACAGGCAACTGCAATTTCCCTCAGTAAAATAAATGATTAATTAGTAAAACACAGTATGCAATCTATGTCCAAAGTGACTTAGCCCTATTGCTAATTGTAGCAATTAGCTAAAACTCCATAGCCTTCATGGTGTTTTGCAGAGCACCAAAGAAAAAAAAGCATGGGCTGAATAATTTATATTCCAAATTACACAAACACATAGACAACATATCTTAGCCTTCTAGATAAGCAACCAGTAAGGTCACTTCTGACAGATCCTTAAAAATACCTAAAAGTAGAATTATGCAGCTGATAAACTATATATTTCATAAAGAATACATGGAAAATATGACCTTATTTCTACAAGCCTAGAGATTCTCTTTTTATTATGGCACTCAGTAAAATTAATCTACAAGCTCAACAACTAAAGTTTGAACAAAATCCCATTATCACCGACTGCATGGATTCCTTCCCAATACAACTGCATTTTTCCATTTTGTTTATTTCAGCATAAAGACCTTCTCTTGCTAGGCACAAAGCCAAAGCCATACAAGTTTTGCTCCTATTTCTCTGCCTGAAGTGTTTGACCAAAGATTTTTAAAAAAGCAAAGCCCTTAAATGTCCCCTCGATTAGCCAGACTTCAACACTGCCTAAGCTAGCTATAAGAAATTGATTCTCAAGCCGTAAAAAAAGTTAACAGATGGAAATAATTTCATTCTCATCTGGAAGAGTGCAGGAAAGCCAACATATTGCTTGGTTAAGAGGCGTTATATATTCATTATTGCTGATAGCAATGAGTGAGAAAGAAGCTGTAGTCTAGTTTTCAGAAGCTCATTGGCCAAACACAATCGGTTGCCAGAAACATTATAAAACATAGGAAGTACAGAACATCAATTGTTCTATACTTTCCCCTCAAAATGGGGGAGAAAAAAAATGACAGAATAAATGAAGAAACATTCAGAGCAGAGAGGCCTGTCTCAAGTGAGAAGGTAAAGAATCAATTTCTTAGGGGTGGATAAAGCTCCCAATTTCATCCAACTCCGAATTTCTTGTCTTCTCTCTTTCAAATGAGAGCACTTACTACTGACAAAAAGACTTTGAGAAAATTAAAAAAAAAAAAAAAAAACAACCCCAAAAAAACCCAAAAAACAAGCAGTCAAAATAAACATCCAAGATCTGGAGAGAAAAGGGAAACCACAAAATCATGGACAGGCTGCAAAACAGTTTGCACTGTCCGCTGTGCTGAAGTGGCTTTTATCCAGCTGCCCATGCTGGGTAATATGGGTAATTCTCTGATAGTACTTTTTCATTGAATTATGTATCCCACAGGCCTTGGTTACACAATTTATCGGAGATTTGTCTGTCAAACGGAACATCCATGAGAAAAAGCTGCAGACAAGATTGAGAGAGATCTTCCGGAGCACTTGGAAAATCACCGAGTTTCCTCACATGCCAGGGCCCTCCAGACTACCCAGCTTAGTTCAGTGAGGTTCCCAAAACCCTGGGTAACAGCCTGCCTTCGAGCCTTGCATGGCCCAACCCATAAAGAATTACTAGTAGACATTTTCAAGGCTTTTTCACTGAAAGTGAAATGGTAATTAATTCTCTTAATTGAACGATCATTCATTAGCCTTTTTACTAAATAACATTCTCAATCTTGAAAGTTACTGCCATGTCTTCAATTTCCCTTTTCAAGATAAGACTAATAACAAGCCTGTAAGTCTGCTGCACAGTATAGCATATATTGTGTGCAGTTTTTCCATTTAGATGCTTCAATTACAAGCAACTGCAGCAAAAAAGCATATTTTACTAGCCAGTATTACATTTTGGCAGATCGTAATTAAATTATTCCTTAGAAGCAGTGCTCAGTGCTTAAGAAGAAGGATTACATTGAATAACAGGGCTAATATTTTAACTCAATTAGCATGTTATTTTTCAATAAAGAGGTATACACTACTGTAACTCCTTCTTCCATGGGTAATATCAGCTATAAAACAGAAATAGTGCAACTTTTTTTTTGTGGTAATCCATATAATTTTCCCCATGACATTCGTACACTTTGTATATTTTTTAAGTGGATGAAAACATGTGATATATTATTATTTTTATAAATATATAATCTTATTTTGCACTCTTGCAAGTACAGAATATTTCAATTCTATAAAAGACTGCCAGAGACTATGCTTTTCTACATCTAAAAATGCCTGAGCATTCCACAGTACGGAAAGAATTTTTCTTTTATGTCCTTTATTCTGTACTGTTTTGAGTTTGATTTATAATATTGGTTGGGGCAGAAGTGATTCTTGGACGAAAAAAAATTACACCTAGTTTCAATGGAAGTAAGGGATCTTCTCCATGGAAACTGTCTGCTATGTATGCTCAGATGACTTATTTATCAGATTCTTCAGTACAATATTTCAATTTTATGGGATTATATTTTCCTATAATCTTTCACTAATAATTTAGAAGTGACATAAACACATAAATGTCTGAATATCTGAAGATAATCAAGTTGTGTCATTTCAATATAAAATTTTAACATATTTCAGGGTCATGTCCTTGATTGTTCAAAACAGCTACTCAGGTTCTTTCAAGGTAAATAACAGCACATATGGACATCCAAACATAGGATTAGGAAAAGGCCATTTTGATTTCATAGGCCAAGACAAAAAGAAAAATACAGAGACACACTGTGCTATAGCCAGTTGGGGAGATGAAAATTATATAGTACAAAGGAACAAACAAGTAAAAGACTGAATTATTAGGATGAAAAAAATAAGATCAATGAGTTACATAAGGAGGTATTAGTGAGTGGGCATGAAATTCCAGTGAGTCATATGAAATACCTTATGTTCCTTTTGTGGAGATCACCTGGTGATTGTTTTTAGAGATGAAGTACTGAGAGGTACAGCACATTTCCAAACAGAAAATAACACTAGATTCTTACACAAGTTTAACGGAACTCTTAACTTAAAACTAAAATTCTTACACTTATCATCATGGCAAGAATGACCTTTTCTGAGCATTACAGAATTATTCACACTAAAAGCAACAGAGAATGCTGCCTACATCACCACCTGAATGTTAGAATGCTATGTCACAATTTCATAATTCTTATTTACTTCCAAAAAAAATGAAGTTACGACTCCTTTAAATTCACTCTATATTCTCACATTCTATAAAAAAGCAACTAATGGGGAATTAATTATTTCAATTCTGGATTCAGTAACTCAGAAGGGGATTACGGATCCATACAGTACAGATCAAGCTCCTAGTGAAACTGGAAACCCTGGGGCTTGCCAATGAGCAAAACCATGCTGTTAGGAGGACTAATTGCAAACTACCATGGCTAAACCTTTGACAAATCTTTTCAGATAGGACAACAGTTCAATTTAGATACAGATGACCTAGAAGTGAGCAGTAAAACCCCTCAATTTATTTTCAATCTTCATTATAAGAAACTTCAACAGGATAAATTCTGTTTTCATCTTCAGGAAAAAAGTTAACAATGATGTAGTCACATATTGGAATGGTTACTCAGAGATTATATGGAGACCCCATTAAGGCACCAAAAGTCTAAGTGGACAAGGATTTGAGCAACCTCTCCTGAGTTGGCCTTGCTTTGAGTAGAGAAGGTAGACCTCTAGAGAGCACTCTGCACATAAATTATTCTGTATTTCTATGAACTACATAAATAGAAACAAACAAACAAAAAAACTTCTTGCAGATCAAAACAAAACGCAAACTGCAATTCTCTAACAATGAAAATCAAAGTTCACAGTGTATACCAGAGTAAAGACTCCACAGCTGGAAAGTATTAAAAAAACTCCCCAAATAATTTTATTTCTCTAAAGACAAACAGAAAAGAAAAGTTTCAAAGCAACACCAGCATTCCATAGGGAAAGCAGGAGAATATATCAGGACAAGACAAGCCAGGACTCTTGAAATTGTTCAGAGTGGCCCAGTGAATGGCCTACAATATCTGATTTCAGCCATCATTTACAAACTCAAGCTGGCTGAGTTAGAGTACTGACTTCAGTACTGTTACTTAAGAGATTTTTTTTCCTTTGCATTTCTCCTCTAAATTATTTCCATGTGACTTCATAATGGATAACAAATTTAGCAGGAAAACTGAAAAGTTCTAAAATGCTGAAAGAAAACAATAAAATGTATTTTTACCAGAAGCAGTTGGCCTCCCCTGTCCCCATTTTAGTAAAAGCTCAAAAAAAGCTTTACACTCTGGACAGCAAGATAGTAGGATCATTTAAATTCTGCTCAAGTATAAACTTTCTGACCTTCACCATGTTGAGGCATGACTATTTATACTTCTGCATCAATTCCATGTATTCAGGACATATTAAAATACATTAAGTCCATAAACTTTACTGACCCTTTTCTGCTGCTTAGTTCATTAATGCCGAAATATATTAATCTAACAAATAAGTGGGTGATTACCTCTTGCAGAACCCTCTTCATTTTCAGAAGCAATGTCTTGACAGCCGTGCAGTCTTGGAGCATCAGTCTGAAGGGCAGAGACTCAATGCCCCCACCTTCTTCCAGCCCAGTGAAAGGCCACTCCACAGACGGGCTGCCAGCCAGCTGGCTGACACGGGGGTGCCTGGCTTCTCCTTGCTCCACCTCCTTCGACAGCTTCAAGGACAGATTCCTTGTGAGAGAAAACAGAAAGGTCAACACTAAAATATGAAAAAGAACTAATAATTTGGGGGTGGTAATTCCTCTGAAGTTAAAGACACATACATTTGCTTATAGAGCCCACTACTATGAACGGCCTTTATAACATACTTGTAGCCATATGGTGCTAGCAATAAAATACACATTTATATAAGGACCATATTCTACAGGAATTAAAACCATGTTCTAGCTCACGCCCTACAAAAGAAAGTAATTTTCTTAAAACAAAATACCCTATGGGCACAACTTCTACAGGTATATTATATTTCAGTTGAGCTTTACAAAAAAATGAATCTGTCATGCACTTTCAGAAGCTAAGTCAAATCATAATCTTCTGTGCACGTTGACTTAAAACTTAGAAAGAAACGAAAACTGGGAAAAAAACCCAAAAAAACAAACAAACAAACCCACCCCTCCCTTCTGGGCTTGCCCAGTGACATAAGATGAACCTGCTACTGTATAAAACAGAATATGGAATTTAATTAATCTGCATCACTCTTAGTTTTAGTTACTACTAAAGCTATATAAGCAGAACATGAAACAAAAAAACCCAGTAAGTTGTGGGTGAGAATCAATTAAAGACACAGAGATTTTGATGGACTTGAAAGGTAATGAAAGATCATTATTTTCCTGCTTACACACTATCTTCCTTTAATATCAGAACAAGTAATCTAATCATTTTTCCCATGATGAAGAAAGTCACACTAAATTAACTCAGTACAATTAAAGATGCTAGCACACAAGCAGTGAAGAAAATCACAATTATTATTCATTTAAAATATTGTTCCAATTTTCCATTTCATTTGAATTTTTATGCAACACAAAACCGATTCTGCCATAGTTTGGAAGGACAAAGAACATTTTCCCACATAAGACTTTCCTTAGCTTTAGTTTCATAGGATCCACAGACAAAACCAGATTAATGTGATTTCTTAAGCAATTCCCTATCATACTAAAAACTGAAAATTAGGATACTATAACTATCTTTTATGGATGGTTCATTTTTATATTTTGAAAGCTATGTAATATGCAGTAAAAAACCATGTTAGATCAAGCCATGTACCACAGAGATCACACACACAGATCCTCATGTTGGCCAATGGAACTAAAATTTCAGGCTCTTCAACTCAGAAAAGAACAAAAATTAGTCTGTTTTAATTTTATAATGCACTGAAACATATTTGAATGGAGCATTTTGCAACTTTTAAAATAAAAACATGAGGTGGATTGTAAAGTTGCTTTTGATTGAAGGATATTAAATCACTGCTGTTTTATAGCCTTTAAACAAGATCCAGGAATAAATCACACAAAGAAAAAACAACTTATGAAACTGACGTCTCATAACATAGACCACTTTTAAAGGTTTATAAAAGAAGACATATGCATACTATTGGAATCTACACTTGCATAAGATGTATGTATCCAGAAAAAGCACATTATTTAAATTAAGATGAAACAAGAAGGTTCTCTTTCTTCCCCACCCAGCACCTGCAGACTAGAAGGCAGATTATTCCTGAAATATTCTATACATTCACTTCATAATTCCCACTGCAGTTTCATCTTCCTCATATTCCTCTACAGGCATTCTGTGTGGGTCCCATCCTGCCCCTGAGAAAGAGCCAATTTGAGAAGTACTGTCTCCCAGGACGAGTCTTTTAATGTCCATCATCAGAGAGAAGACCCTGGTATCACCAGCCATGCCCTGCTCTCCTGTCAGGAGAAAATAAGTGGTATTCATGGAAAACTGTCCTCCCCTCTGGAAGAGATACATTGTTTATGTATAAGCTATAGATGTACTGGAAATATAGCAATTCTGAATTTCAAATAAAGACAATATTTTCAGTTACTTCAGTGGGTTTCACGTTGCTATCGCACTGTTCAACACATAAAACTACCATCTCTTCAAACACAGAATCTTGCACTAAAGTAAGAAAAGCACTGCAACAATACATTACCACTCACAGTCTTAAGAGTTTAAGATCTGACTCAGCTGTTTCTTGAAAATGGTGACTCAGAGTTCAATGGTACACAGAAAGCATTCAGGTTATACAGCCCTTCCTGATAGTTCAGAGGGACTTTAACTGATCTGTGACAGAAAAACTCTGCACTCTCTGATACAACTCATTCTACTTGGTGCAGAAAAAAAAGCTCATTTAAGCTTTGTTCCAGAAAAGGTATTCCATCAAGTTCATTATTATCAGCTTCTAGGTGGTCTGTTACATTATCATTGCAGTAATCCACTGCAATTCATCTCAAAGCAGCAATAGACATTTAGAAAGGGAAAAAAACCCAAAACAACCCAATTCTTCCTAAATTAGAACTTTCACTTTAGTAAGGCATCTCAGCCTCTGAAGTTGGAGTAGGGCTGGTTTCTTGACTGGTAGTGCAGGAGCTCCTTACAGAGGGCCAGACACCTTGACCTTCCTAACATGCATTTATTTTAATCAAAACATTTCAGAGCCAAATATTATCTATGACAAACTTCTTAAGTCCTTGGAAAAAAGCCTCAAAAGTTCTATTTTAATGACCAAAGCAATGTATTTCCTGTAAATGACAACATTAACTACATAATACTATCAACATACAGTATTTCAGAAAGGCAATTCAGCCACTTTTAAATACATGGCTACAACGTGAGCTCTAAATTCACCTGCCATACACACAGGCTAAGTTCCTACTTCAACAAAGCCACACCTGAAAATGTTCTGAGCACTGGAAGTCAGTTTCAAAACGCTTCTGAAATGGCTCAAACCAACCCCGTTACCACTCTTCCCAATGATTCCCTGGCCTGGTTTGGTTGCCACTACAGGTAAATTGGATTATTCCACTCCATTCTGGAGGATGTCAGTGGTGCAGATGTGCACTCAAGTACCATCCCATATAGAGCTCACCTCAAATCCCTGAGCACTGCAATGGAGCCGTGAATGATAACAGAGAAAAGGACACAATGTTAGTAGAATTACTGCCACCATAAGGTCAGAAAATCCACAGAAACCTTGTTACAAGTCTGTAAATATTAAATACACTGAAAACATGTGCAACTCAAGGGTACTTCGTACTTTGGTCCTGCTGGCTTGTTTCTTATATATCTGGACATATCCACTGAGCATCAGAAATCTACTCCCTCATTCCTAATTGATACAACGAATTAGAAGCTACAATATCCACAGTCAGTAAAATGGGAGTGCCATTAAGGCAGATTTCTATTTCAAAAGCAGTCTTTATTGAAATAGTATGCTAGCATTAAAATAATCAATCAGTGGCTTTCAGCATTTAATAGCCTCCATCAATCCAATGTAACCACATGTTAACTGATTAAGAGACACAGTTGTGCAGATCCTTTGAAAGCTCCTTTTCCCTAGGAAGGTAGAACAAAAGGAATTTTCCCTTATGAAAGAATTCTTATAGCATTTTATTAAAAAATAGGAATGAAGGGAAAAGAGAGGAAAAAGGAAAGGAAAAAAAAAAAAAAAGAAAGGGGACCCAAAGACATGGATTTGCAGCTTGAGCTTGTTTAAGTCATTCTTCCCTTCTTACTGATCCTCAGATCAATGATTTGAAGAGCTTATGGTAATTTGAACTTCACTTACATAAAGATCCCCAGATTATGTGGACTTTAATCTTCTTAGTTTTCATCAGCAGTGCTCAAGATGTTGCTAAATCAGAATTAGCCTAAACTAATACAATTGGTTCCCCTGAGTCTGCTTCTCTTGATATCAGCTTAACAGAGGAGAACCCATGTAACACTGTTGGCATCAGGAAGGCTCTGAATGCCAAGCATAAGACCCCAGACTCTATGAGAAGAGCTGAACACACTTTCTTTCTTCCCTCAGGGCTTATCTTCTAAAGCAGGGTCTTAGAAAAAGCCTTAAATCTCTAATCTGCAGTGTTTAAGTGTGCAGCTGTGTGTGTAAATATTCATCAAGACACCATGTATATACACACATGTATTTTTATAGCTCTCTCTGTGTGTTTACATATATATATAGTTGTAGATGTCATACATACATACAAACACATAAAAATTTGGTCTTGGTAAATTTTTCTAAAAAACAAGTAGCTCTCATTTGTCTATAGCTTGGCCCATCCTTTTACATTAGAAGAAAGATGTTTTTAGTTTCCTACAGAGGTTATGTCCTGAAATCCTATTTCATATTAATCTAGAAAGAAATATGAATTGAAGGCTTTCTCCCATCCAGAATTTTCTTTTTCTTCATTAACAGTAAATAGGTCTTCCTGCTTCAGAATTAACTAATTATTATTTTGATAAATATTCCTCAGCTGGCCCACGTAAGACATGTAAGAGCAATTGCTTCTGCTTTTTAGAAGAAAAGCTGCCTACCTCAAATACTTCCAAAATGCAGTCTGAAGCACTCTGTGGCTCTCCTAAAATGAAGTACATTACCTGTGAAAACCTACTATAATCCCATACTGAATCTTAATCTCTGAGTGATCTCCTACTAATATCATCTAGTAAAGAGAAATGTTCTACCCCAAACAGTTCACTACCGAAATACAGGGACATATTTTGGAAAAAAAAAAGCAAAGGCCCCTCACCACATTTAGCAGAATTAAGGCAAAGACTTTAAAAAGCACGTCCCTAAATATTACAATGAAGATATAAAATAATGTCCTGCTAGGTGCCTAAATGTTCTCAAGACGTAGTCAGGGAGGATAAAAAAATTGGCAAACTCCTCACTCAGTTCTGAAAACACAGGCTTTGCAATATTAAGATAAAAAGCTAACCAGAACTTAAACACTTGGCTAATTACCTGTATTAGCATTCTTTGGCATCAAAATTTCTACCTCTCTCTGTCTCACAGTTTCCCAACACTGCTTCTGTTCTAACAGAAACTGCTTCAGAAGCTGCAGGGGTAAGATTTCACAATCTTGTACATCAGTGTGTCATAAAGTACACGTTGTTTGACATTTTACAGCTTTGAGAGCTGTGGATCCTCTATTGATGCTATGATT